CTTTATCTAATTAGTTGTAATGCATTTATATACGTTAATATTTCTTTCACAGCTACTCAAATTATTCAGTAATTAACTGATTACTTTTTTAAATTAGTGAAAGAATGTCGCTCTAATCGCTGAAATTATATGGATTTTCCGATCATAAGTAAAAACACAAATCATTATCTGATGACCATAATGATTCTTTTCGACAGCGATGAAAAGAAAGGGCCTTTGATTTTTACGCTTGTACATAGACTCGTAGATTAACATTTCATCATTGTATTATATGTCACAACATATTAATTTATTTATCTTTCTCGTTAATAATATATAAAATTTAATAAAAATTTTCTAAATCGAAAAGAAATATTAACTCGAAAATCAATTTTTTTAATATATCATGCAATATACATTAAATATAATGTTGAAGTTAAAAAGCTGGTAAAAAGAAACGTGTCTAGTTTTTTTTTTACAACTATTTATACTTATTTGTCAGATTTTCAATCCTTAAAAAGTTTATTAATCTTATTAGCATCTTTTCTAATAAAATATAACTTACCTATTATTCAAATATTTAAAATTTATTAATATTTTTATTAAAAAAAAAACTACCTAATTCATTAGTTATATCATCAGCTAAATTACGCATTATTAATATTATGCTTATATTAAGATTCTTAAAAATTCATTTTATAAATAATATAATAATCAGTATAAGATTATCAAATTTTTTTTTTTTATTAATATTATTTTACAAAAAATCACTAAAAATCACTTTTTTATACTTTATTAAACCAAATTTTTTTTAATACAATAATTTTAAAAAATAATTTTTTTATTAAATAATTAATGGTAATATTATATTTATTCAAAATTATAAAAAAATATATTTTTATTTTAATAATTTAGATAAATAATTTTATATAATATTTTTTTATTAATCAACTAAATTAAAATATATATATATATATATATATATATTATTTTATTTAATTTTTAATTTAAAAATTTATATTAAAATTTTTTTTTTACTTTTTAATAATAAATCATTAAAAATTATAAATTTTTAATTATTATTTATTTTATATTATAAAATAAATTTATATAATAATTTTTATTTTTAGATAAATGTTAAAAAATTTTTTAATTAAGTTATATTTATTTAAAATTTAATCATTTCAAAGTTATTATAATTTTTTTTTAAATTTTAATTTTAAATTAATATAATTTTTTCTTTCAATATCAATATATTAATTTAATTTTTTTTATTAATAAAAAAAAATCATTAGATAATTAATAATAAATCACAATTTTAAACTTTTTAACAAATAAATAAAATTTATTATATTTTTAAATATTATATTAAAATTAAAAAGATAAATATTATTTTTTAAATAATGAGTATAAAACTATTTAAATTTTTAAAATTTTAAAATTAATAATTATTAATAATCAAACAAAAATTTAGTTTTTGCTAATAAATTTTAATAGATACTATCTTACATCTTTAAATAATAAAGATCTTTATCTTGTAAGAAAGTAATTAGCAAATAATTACTAGATCTTAAATATTTAAAAATAATTGACTATATTACACATTACAGTTTTAAGATAAATTACATAATCAATAGAATTAGAAGTTAAGTTTAATTCTTGAACAACTTTAATATTATAGATACTAAATTATCATTTATATAAAGAATCTAATCTTAAAATCTCAGTAATTATTAATAAAATAAATCTATAAATTAGATTAGTAAAAATAGTGATCATTAATAATTATGACTAAAGCAGATATTTTATTTAATTTTGATAGTTAAGTCTAATAGAAGTTTATTTAGTTAAGCAGATTTTAAAGTTAAATCTGATGAAATAAACTATATATTAAATGATAAATAATAGTTTTTAAATAAGTATAATTAATGTAATTGCATAAATCTTTAATCGTAATTGATAAAATCTTAGGAGGTTTAATTAAGTTTTATATTACTTTAAAATATATTAGTACAAATTTGATTTATAAATTTTAAAATTAATTTATTATTTAATAATTACAAAAAAATAAGTTTAATTAGTTAAAATAATTTTATTAAAACTATTATAATAGATATTTTTATATTTTTGAAAATAAAATATATGAAATTTAAAAATTTAACTGTTTTTATAAGAAATATATAATTTTATATAATTTGATTATATATTTATTAAGTAATTACAAATTATAAAAATTAAAAAATAAATTTTAAATAAAATTTTTTAAAATTTATTAAAAATTTATTTAAAATTTTATATTTCTTTATAAAATTAAAATACAATAATAAATATTATATCATGACTAAATATATGTAGTAATTAATTGCAATTAATAATAAATAAGTATTATATAATTCTAACTAATTGTAATATTATTAAAAATTAAGTTGCAAATAATTGCAATCTGTGACAAATAATCACTATAGAGTTGTAACTAGTTACTGTACAATCTTTAATCATAATCAATAATAAATATATCAATTATAGTTATTATTAATAAAATAAATAATTATGTTAAATTATATCATTATATTATATCAGTCATAATTCAATAAAACATTTATTTTATATAAAGTATAAAAATTTATTATAAATATTAATTTATTAATTTATTAAAATACTTTTATTTTTAATTATATTATTATTTTTTATAATATGTTATTATATAAATTTTTCAAATATTAATTATTTTTTTTTTTTAATATTTTAAATTACTTTTAAATAAAAATTAATATTTAAAATTATTTATTTATTTTACTATTTTATCAAATAATTAATAATTTAAATTTTTGTTTATTTATAAATTTATATAGTTAAATATATTATATTAATATAAATTAATAATTAAGTTATAATAATATTAAATATTTAAATATTCAAAATTTTAAGAATATTATTTAAATCTTTATAGTATTAGATTAATCAAAAAATTTTTAGATTCTTATGAAAATTAATATAATTACTCAGTTTTTTTTTATATTTAAGATTATTAAATCAATTTATAAATCTCTTACAATCTTTTTTTCTTTAAAAAAAATTCTAATAATCGTTATATATATTATTTTTAATTCTAAAATAATATTTGAATGAAAAGCCTTTTTATTATTGAAGATATAAACATAAAAAAATTTTTTAAAAATATTGTAATTTATAAATTAAAGTTAGAATTATAAGAAAAATATTTTAGTTATATAAAATTAGATAAAATGAAAATTATAATAACTTTAATATAACAGTTTTAAAGCAAAAAAAAAATGTGATAAAGATATTAAGTTTTAAATAATAAAAAAATTGTAAAAATAATATTAAAATTTATTATATATAAATAAAGTATATGTTATAATAATTTATATTATATAAAATCACATAATAAAATATTTTATTATAAAAAATTTGTGAATTTAAAAAAACTAAGATAAATGGATTACGAAAATCTAAAATTTTTTTGCTTACTTTTATAGTTAAATTTTTAGAAAATAAAATTAAAAATATTTAAAAAAAATAATTAAATAAAAAATTTTATTTATAACTAAATTTTATAAAAATAAGTTAAATAATATTAAATAACTATATAATTATATAAGTCTAAATATTTTAATAAATTTATTTTTTTTTAAAAAAAAAAAAAAAGCAAAAAAATTATTTAAAAATGGATTATTCAAATTTATAATTTATATCTAATTAAATATATCATATAAATTAAATATATTTATTAATTAAATATAATAAAAGGAAATTTATTATATTAGCTAATTATTATAATATAACAATAAAAATTATGATTATTAGAAGTTTAATTATAATAAAAATGATTTTTATATTAAAAATTTTATGTAATAAAATTCATATCTAATATGGGAGTAATTTAATAATAATATGCAATTTTTATTTTATATGCTAAATATGATTTTAGGTAAAAATATGTTCAGATTTAACATCAACTCATTTTTTTTTTAACCATTTTCTCCTTTTCTATTGCAATGATCCTACTGTATATAATCTTTTCTGCAAAATAAGTGAAACATGATTATATATGGTATAATTATATAAAGATAGATACTGAATTTATAATTATTTAATTATTTATAATTTTATTCTTTTTAAATAGATTTATATAATTAGATTTAAATAAATTATATTATTCTTAGCTTTGCTCAGAATTTAATATTATGAATTTAAAAGGATATATTAATAAACAACTTTAATGAAATTATTTTTACTTAAATATTATAGATTTTTAAAACACAATTTCTATAACCTTTTTTAATGTTTATTTTCGAGAAATTAAACAATTACAATACTATGTTAAATCTTTGTTAAATTCAAAAAAAAAAAAAAAAAAAAAAAAAGAAAAAAAAAAGCGAAAAAAAAAAATCGAGGGACTTTTCATATATGCTATATGTATATGCAAAAAATGGATGCAATTCAATGAACGATAAAAATGATGCAAATTCAATGAACGGTAAAAAAAACAGAAACAAGAACTAAAATATTTTTAACTAAGAAATATGAAGAAATAGAAAATAAGAAAATAGAATATAAGAAGTGAATTAAAGAATATGTATATAAGAGGAGTAGGGAATGCATTTATATGGTATAATTGAAATTTGCTCTGAGAGAGAGTATAATTCTAATCGACTCCAAATCAATCCACAAAATCATCAAAATGAATTATATTTTAAGAATACTAGGGGATATAATAAAAAAGAAAGCACTAGAACCCGCTAGCCCTATCTAAACCTTTTTTTTTTTTTTTTAAAAAAAAAAAAAAACAAGCCTACTATACATAAGATGAACACTTTCTCTCACAAATATATATACTACCTTTAACTCCCAAACATCATTCTTTAACCAACCCTCTCCTCTCACACACATATATAAAACTATACAATTTCTGCTAATTAGAATAAACTATTAACATGTAAAGTAATTTTCACGATTTAATAAATATGGGATTAAAATATAATTATTTATTGCCTTTTTTATATTGTTTCCTTTGTTATTGTTTCCTCATTTTGATATTTATCGGTTGAATCTACGTGATCTTTAGGTTCTTGAACTTGAATTTGACCTCCTTCTCCTGTTGCAATTACAAAAGGAGGCTCATTTCCTCCCCAAAAGATTGTGATTTCACCATCTCCATCATCTGAAAACAATGTACTTCTACCATTAGAACTAGTAGAACTCAATATACTCTCTCGCTGTAACTGAGGTGGAGACGAGTCGTTACTATACACCTCACTGCTACCAAATAGCCCGAATGAATGTCGTGAATTAAGATGTTGTGATGTTGATCTCTGACTTGCATCACGAGTTGATTCTGCTGATGCTCTTTCGATATCTATACAAGGCATTATCTGTTCAGTTTCAGAATCATATCTTGAAAAATTTGAAGTTGGACTGCTTGGTACAGATGATAATGACGGTGCACTTAAGTAAGTATTATCATTCATGGGAGATTTTGGCGTATTAGGAATGCTATTTCCATGTCGCGCAGTTTGTGCTGAACTCGTATCAGTATTTGGTAATCTTACAGTATTAAGTCGAACAAGTGCCGGTTTAGCCCGCGTTGCCGTCATTAGAGTAGCTGTGGGCGCTGTTTTTGTCGCTTGCAAAATTGTACCAACATCTGAAACCAAATCATCATCCTCTGTAACATCAATTAATGATTCATCATTAAGGTTAAAAGGTATAGGGCTAGCTAGAGGGGAAGTTCCACAACTAACATGTGACGCTCGTAATCTTGGAAAAGTTGGTTTCGGTTTAGGAGTGGTTGGTGTTGATGGATTGGTTGATGGTATATATGCAATTGGAATAACATTTTCTCCGTCTATTGAAATCATCTCTTCGTTATTATCTAATTTAACACCTCGATCATTTCGTGTCCTTCGTTTCAATGCAAAATAACCATAACCTATTGCAGTTAAGAGCCCGACCCCAAGGATACCACCAATAACAGCTGGTAATAAAGTTTTATTGCCATTTTTGTCTTCATTGTTGTTATCATTAACTTGTAATTCGTTTGATGATAATTTGACACATTTTGCCTTTTGACATTCAGAACATGACCGTAAGGTCAGGATACATTTTTCACCTTCAGGACATGTAGGGCATTTTATCTCAATCTTATTGCAAGGTATGCATTTGTCTGAACTATTATTATTTGGGGATGTTTCTGTTTCTAATAAATAATTTGAATATTAATAACTTATTTAAATGATAACTTTAATGATATAATTCAAATATCAACTCACTTTGCGCAGTTATATGTGGTATATTTATGAATATCACTGCTATCCATACTAACCCAATGAGCATATTTAATTGTATTTGTGATATTGAAAACTTCATCTTTTATTATTTATTGCAATATTGACCGTATTTCTTTTATGACGAGAAATGCTAACAACTTTACAAAGAAAAAGGTGATATATACATATAATTCAATATATATATAATGGATAAAAAGAATGTATTATTATATATGATAAAAAAATCAAAGATTCCTTTGACTAAAATAAATGCTTGGTTTTGTAATATAAACTAGTCGAAAAGTGGGGAAATGCTAGTCAAAGGTTATGGATGCGAGTTAGAAAAAAAAAGGGAAGAAACAAAAAGAAAACGCACAAGAAGAAGTGTGATTTCTTATGAATCTTATCCAAAGTGTTTTATGAAACCAAAAAAAAAGGTTAATGGAGAATGCGGAGGTAAGACAACACCATCGACAAGTTATTTCGCAAGCACGAAAAGGTCAAAAGAATCATTCAAAAAAAGTTATTATTTCAAATTGTTTCACTGCCTAATTTAGTGAAAAGTTTTTTGTGATATTAAAATGTGTCGCCCGTCCGTTTCCTTTTTTAGGAGATCAAGTAAATTGCATGTTGCACTCGTTTAGATATTAAATGTCCAATCATCTCTCCAAAAACCGCTAAAAAATAACACGTCTGGATCTTCCAATTCCATTTTGGTTAATAGCTCTAAAGTTTAAATTCTAGACGATATAAAAATTTCTTTTTTTTCCTTATTACATTCTAAATGGACTCACAGCCCTCTCATATAACCGAAGGTTCAGATAATTAATATTTGTTTTATTTGTTTGTTATTTTATATCATAATTTATATAAATATCTTTTTTTTTTTTTTTTGCTTTTACTGATAGATGAAGCTGCTTTGTATGATAGACAGATAAGACTATGGGGTTTGGAAGCTCAACAACAGTAAATTTTATTTGAAACTTATTTTAATTATAATTAGAAGTGGTATTTGATTATTTATTGTTTCGAACTTTTTTTTTTTTAATATAATTATGAAAGAATGCGTAATTCATCAATTCTTATAAGTGGAATAAGAGGATTAAGTAATGAAATATGCAAGAACCTCGTATTGGCCGGTGTTGGTTCTATTACGATCATTGACCATAACGTCGTAGCCATAGAAGATTTGGGGGCACAATTCCTAATAACCGAGCAAGACGTTGGAAAAAATGTAAGGCAGATATGATCTGTTAAGTCTTTTACATGCATGCGGCGCAGTATTTTCTGATTTAGGGTCACATTTTTTATCAAGAGGGCATTGGCTTCAGCTGATCGTGTTCGACATCTGAACCCTCGTGTAGTCGTGAAAACTGATACGAATGATATACGCGAGAAACCTGAGGAATTTTTCATGAACTATGATTTAATCTGTCTCACAGACAGTGACCTTGACACTATGGTAGGACTAGATCCTTGGGCATTTTTCATCATCATCAGGTAATACACAATGTATCTTATTAAACACATTAACATGGCTTCACTTAAAAATTTCATAAATAGATTCGCATAGATCGGTTTTGTCGAGAACACAATAAAAAATTCTATGCGGCCTGCACGTATGGTTTCTTTGGGTTTATATTTTGCGATCTAAACAAACACGAATATATACAGTTAAGTAACTTTTTTATGCTTTTTCCGTCTTTTTTTTTTATATTTGCTTACGTAAACTAAAATTATCTGAAATTAACTGTTTAGGGTGAGAAAAACTCCAAAACCAAATAAGGACGAACCTGAAATAGAGCGGATAATGAAATGTGAGGAATATGTGAGTTTAGAAGCTGCTTTATCAAAAAATGATTGGAATCAAATTCCTGAGAAGAAACTAAAAAAAGTTTCTTATGTGCTTTGGGGAGTGCTAAGTAAGTTCTTTAATACTTTTAATATACGCTTCGATCATTTGTTCTCTCGCTCCCTAAATCAATAGTGTCACATTATCCTTATATATTATTATATAGTCTTATGGAAATTTCAACAAGAAGAGAATAGATTACCCATAAATAACGAAGATGATATAAGAAAATTAAAATCACTGAGAGATTCATTAATAACCTCGAACGGAATCAAAGTGTCAACTATCTCTGATGAATTCCTTGTGTACGTCCTTTTAAAAATAATTTATTACTTCATCAAAAAAGATTTAAGAACTTTATATTTATTTAATGATCATCGTGATATTCCAGAATGCTCTCCTTGAATGCACGAGCTGAATTATCACCCGTTTGTGCTATCATGGGAGGTTTATTAGCTCAGGATATTCTGAATGCGTTATCACGTAGGGAATTACCCATCAATAATCTCTTTATTTACAACGGTCATGTAGGCAAGTAATCAAAATTATAAACTGGTCAAATTAATCTTCTTGTTCATTAAATCGATTCTTATTTTTAAATAATCCAGTTACCGGAATGATATATAAAATAGAACAGGGAAAGAAAATATTTGATTGAGAATTAGGTAATTGATAATTAAGAAAATATATTTCCATGTAGGATTCAAACAAGAAACTTAATCATAATAAAGATTTTTTCCATTATAATCATACCCTCTAACATACGGATATATAAATAATCAACCCACTAAATAAAAAACAAAATTAATATGGTTTAAATCGTCTTGAAGCTTTTAGTTTAGCGATCTTTTCTTTATCTTCTTCGAACTTTTTGCGAAGGTCGATGAGTTCTAGAAAATGAAAATAAAGTATTAAAATATATATATTTATATATATCTTACGATAAATGATATATTTACTGTTTCGTTTCGCTTCACGCATTTGGAATCGATAAAAGTCCGTTAATTCCTTATTCTTTGGTTTCAAATTCTTAATTTCTTCTGCTTTAGCTGCCGTTACAGTTATTGTACCATCCGTATTAACATTACGTCTTCCAACTCTTGTTACCGTGATAAATCCATCCTCGTCTGGTTGATTAAGTTTTGCTTCTAAATCTTTACGTCGTTCTAATTCAGCTTCTTCAAAATTAACTATATATTCATCAACTGCTTCTTGAAGTTTTATTTGAACTGGACGATGTAATCGATAATCACGCAACCATCCTACTCATATCAAAAGCATAAATAAAGTTATCGGTATGTTATTATTATTAATAATGAAACGGTCAATAATAATAATATTATTATTACTAGATAATCCTAGTGACGGAATTTCTTCATTTTTAGTAGTCCATATTCTCTTTTTTTTTGTCATATGTAATGCTTGTTTTAATCCTTCAGATTTTTGAAAAATAACATGAGCAGAAGAATCTGGTACCAAAAAATTTCTATTTTCATTAACTGCATTTATTAAAAATTCATCATCTTTAATAACTCCGTTGAATATGATTCTATCTATTACTCCACAATCTTGAAATAAATATTTAATATGTGCTTCTGTTGAATCAATTGGTAAATTTGAAATAAAAAGAGTTTTATCGGGAGGTAAGATATTAATTGAAGAATTATTAGAACGTGACTCGTGACTTTTAAAGTAACAATAATGAATTGAAGTAAAAGAAGTGGTGTTGGGTGAAGACATTTCAATTGGAAGAATTTTAAAGCTTGTATTGGAAAGTTCTTCTAACGGCGGTAATTTAGTTTCTTCGTCATTGCTACTATTTAAAATTGATACCGACTCATTAATTCGTTGAGGGTCATTTAATGATTTCTGTTCATCGTTGTTTGATTCTTTGTAAATAGTCTGAGACTGTTTCTTCTTTTTTCGCTTCGAACCCATTTTGATTTAAAAAAAAAGTTTCCTGATTATCAAAAAAAATTTTTTTCAACACAGATCCATCAGAAAGCTCGACCACGTGATTTTTTTACATTAACTATGTGATGGATGAATATGGAAGACAAATAGGACTTTTCGAAAATTAGTGAACATCCTTATATGTCACCAGTAAAAATTTTATCAAATAAATGCGTGAAATCACGTGGGAAACAAAAAAAAAATCTTTTTTGTCGTGCAATTTTTTTTACTTGTAATTTGTACTTTTTGAAAATGGCATTTAGTAAGTTATTTTACCACAACCAGTAATCAACAAATAAAATTTTTACATTTAATAGTTTAATTTCTACCAATCATAATTAATAGGACAAAACAGTGGAGGAGGACGCGGTGGCGGCGGTCGCGGTGGAGGTCGTGGTGGACGTCGTGGTGTAGGTGGACGTGGAGGTAAATGATTTTTTTAACAAATATACGAAATCGATCATTATATCGTTAATAACTTTGAAATGGATTATAATAGGTTTTTCAGGTAATTCAGCCGGCCGCGGTGGTAAATATATTTATAATATATGAATAATTCCTAAAGAGCTAATTAACTGAATTAGTATTGATTTATCTAATTAGGTGTAGGAAAGCGTGGTGAGCGTGGTGGTAGTGGCCGTGGTATCGGAGGAAGAGGTGCTCGCGGAGGAAGTCGCGGTGGAAGAGGTGGTAAACCAAGTTTTAGAGGCGGAGCTAAGGGTGGTTCTAAAGTCATAATTGAACCACACAGACATCTAGGTATTTTATTAAATTTTTTTTTTTTTTTTTTTTTTTTTTTTTTTTACTAATATAACTTACTAATGAAACTGTTTTTTTTAAAGGTGTCTTTATTGCTCGTGGTAAAGAAGATCTTCTTGTCACAAAAAATCTTGTAAGCGGTGAATCTGTTTATGGAGAAAAGAGGATTACGGTAGAAGGATCTGATAGTGTTAAAATCGAATATCGGGTTTGGAATCCATTCCGATCAAAGTTGGCTGCAGGTATACTTGGTGGTATCGATCATATTTACATTGCACCCGGTAAAAAAGTGTTATACCTTGGTGCCGCTTCGGGAACTACAGTATCGCACGTAGCAGATATAGTTGGCCCGGTATGTTTGATTTTTTTTTTTTTATTATTATCCTTTTAAAACCTTTTTCCAATAAATAATTCTATTGTGTAGGAGGGTGTAGTATATGCCGTTGAATTTTCTCATCGATCGGGACGTGATCTCATTAATGTGGCGAAAAAACGTACAAATGTTATACCTATCATCGAAGATGCTCGACATCCGCATAAATATAGAATGTTAGTTAACATGGTGGATGTTATTTTTGCTGATGTTGCACAACCCGATCAAGCGCGTATTATAGCACTAAATGCGCATCATTTCTTAAAGAATAATGCATATATTGTTATATCTATCAAAGCAAATTGTATTGATTCTACAGTAGAAGCATCTACAGTTTTTGCAAGGGAGGTTAAGAAACTGCAAGAAGAACACATAAAACCTTTGGAACAACTTACTCTTGAACCATATGAACGTGATCATGCTCTTGTTGTTGGAAGGTATATACGATCAAAGTAGAGATTTTTTTTTTTAAAAAAAAAAATAATAATAATAAAATAAAATTAAAACTATTCAACAAAATAATACCATGAATGGAAATTCTATATCAACAACAAATTAAGATTTGATCTTAGTATACTACTAACTACGGTTAAAGATTTATATTTTATTAAAATCTTGAAAATTAAAGCGTTAAAATAAACTAGAAAGTGTCATTGTCGTTAAACTGTACAAAGTTATTTATCATGGTATGTATTATAGTGTGTTAACTAGCACAGAAAGTTTCAATACCAACGATATCGTGTATCTCGTGTTGGAACTGATACTTGACCGAATATAATCTTTTGAGACGGAGGAGACAAGACCACGAAATCTGTTACTTTGGCCTCCAAGCTTGACATGTTTATACGTGGTCAAGATAATTTGTTCCGTTAATTCACATTGTTCAATTATTATTCTTGAATCTTGAAATGAAAGCCTTTAAAACAATCTAAGACGAAACAATTCTTTTCAAATTACACAATCCATTTTCAAAAGTATCCCACTAATTTATCAAGCGCTGACGCGTTTAGAGGTTCCAAGAAAGTTTTTCGAGGCCAAATTTTAGGACGGGAGTAAAACGAGCATTGTATTGTGTAAATATAAACATCCAAAAAACAGATTTTAATAAGTTTCCGGACCGGCTGACGGGTTCAAACTTTTGTCTGTTAATTTCGGATGAGGATTACCGAAGATTTGGTTCGTCATTTTATTTTGTCAAAATACTGTAAAAAACCATTCAATTAATTGTGGACTTCCAATTTACAAACAAGCTTTCAAGAAAGGTATGATATTTTATTTGAGTTGAAGCAATGAATATGTTGAATACCATATTTTACTCTACACGACTCGTAATCAACAATGTGTTCGACGAGAGTGATGTTTTGTACTTTCCTTATTTTACGTTGTATTTTCAACGAATTTCTACGAAAAAAATACCTTTGGATGCTTGCATTAAATAGAATATTTTAATTTAAATTAAGACATAAATACTATGTTGCGATCTTTACTTGGCGGAACAAGAAAACAAGGTCCGAAAAGGGCTGTTGTGTGGTCCCCCGATGTGGTGGACAATGCTAAGCCCTTGCCAGGTGTGCCTTTTTTCTCTTTATGGCGTTACATTGTCGATTACTAACAATACTGCTTCGTTCAATTTATTATTTAATAGACTCCCCGAAAACAGGAATGTCGGATGACGAAGCCATAAAAAAGTCAGGTAAGTTCCATCTTTTTTAGTTGTTTCATTAAATTATTTTATGCCAGATTTGTTATAATTTAAAGTTCGACCTTTTTAATAATAGGAAAAAACTTTACAGTCTCGGATGAAGATGAAAGGAAACGTAGACGAGCCATTCGGTTCGGGGCGACGCCGTCAGAAAATGACAATAGCATAGGACAAGAAAGTACTTCTAAAGTGAGCCCACTATCAGATTTTGCTGTAGAGCAAGGTACATTGTTGATTTTTATTTTGTTATTATATAATTATATTTGCTTAATTCTAAAATGATTATTATCTTTTAATAGCTGCACAAATAAGTAACCTCACTGAAAATGAAAGGAAACGTCAACGTGCCGTTCGATTCGGAACGCGTACGCTTCAAAGTCAACAAGTAAGTCTATATATATGTGCGTGTGAAAATTATTTCTTTTTTAACACGAAGTTTTCTTAAATTTTGATAGTCTCATAAGTCAAAGACAGAAAATAATCACACTCAAGAATTAGAACAATTAGGAACAAGAGTGAAAGATTTTGTTGATACGACGAGACTTTACGCTCAAGTACAGGATGCAATTTCTGACGCATTAAATGAAGCAACCTTAAGTGAAACAGGACGAAGTCGAGCGTGGGACTATTTTCATGACGGATTCAAAGTTGATCATAAAGCAAAACGCCGAGAATCTGTATCAATATCTGAAACCGATGCACCATTCGAATTCCAGGTCGAACCTCAAGTTGTTCATGAAATCTTGCAAGGAGTTTTAGAGGACACAGAGATAGTTAACAACAATTTTGGATTGAAACTTGAAAACGATTCGACAGCCGAATTAGATTGCATCCCACCCAGTCCTCGTTACGCCGACATCGTAAATGCGAAAGAGGTCCAAAGTTCGTTTGACGAAATTTCTTTCGTTCCCGATGCATTGATATCAAAATCGAATGAGAATTCTCCTGTAATTTCCTCCGTTAACTATGAAGAAGAAACTATTGCGGCTAGCATCGATGAAAACACTTTAATAGAAACAACGGATACCGATGCAGTGGATGAACTTGATCAGGCCTTTCGGTATTTTTATATTGGAATTTAATTAATTAATTTATCTATTTATTTATTTTTTAAAACTAAATTTTAATATTCGATAATATTAATCATGTTAATTAGATTTACGACGGTTTGCGATTTACGCGATGAGGTGTTAGGCCCTCCACCTTCAGCTCCTTTTCAATTTCAACGAGAGACACATCGACGGGAGCAAGCTTTCAAGCGAAAGGTTGCCTTTAAAAAGTTCGCGATAAAGAAGATGATTGACCGTGAATCTGCGGAACTTTCGCGACGACGAAAATATCGCATGGCAATCTTCGATGCGAACCGTGCTCATTCGGTTGCTACGGTTCTTGGCGAACTCGACTCAGTAGTGAAACTCGATACCCCCGCTGAACGTTTGTTCAGGCTTGAACATCCCGAATATTTTCCGAAAGAGCCTTCGGAATCGCGCGAAGAGCGACTTCGCGAATATGAAGAGGCACGTAGTTCTTACGACGCGATGGTAGCTAAGAAAATGGTCAAACAACAAAGCCGCCAAGATAAGGTAAACATATGATTTTTCAGTTTATAATTGAAATATAATATATATTTGTTTGTTTTTTTGTTTTTTGTTTTTGTTAGACACGCCTAAAACGTCTTCGCGAGTTGGATGACGATCTTCAAGAAACTAAAAAAGTAGCCCGACAGAAAGTCCAAGAGGAAAAAAATCGGATCAAACCTTCCGAATCGGATACCCGTAAATCACGGAAAGAAAAAGGCAATATTTCCTCTGATAAGGAAGATTATGACGATGATGAAAGCGAAGAAGAATTCGACGCTTTCGAAGAGTTGTCAGTACCGTTACAGGTCCGGAAACATACTCTCCGACGCAAAAAGGATGGCTTATCGTACAACGAACTTCGCCGTCAGGTTAAAGAGAAAGAGCGTAGCGAAAAGGTCCAGCGAGAACTCGCAAAGATCCAAGAAAAGGCACGAAAGTGCCAAATTGAAGATTTGCGTCACCAAATCCTTGAAGAAGAGCGTAATCGCAAAAGACAGAAACTCGTTGATCTTTCCAACGAAAGGGATAGACGTGACGCAATAACCATTCAACATATTCGCGAAGTTGCAGCAACCAAAATCGCAATAGGACGGGCGATTCGTGAATTGGAAGATAAGATTTCCGCAGCAGAAGTACAACTTCAAGAAAAATCTCGTAAGTGGCGAATTGAAGATATATTTTACCACTCTTACCATTTCAAAATCAAGACGAGAGGACATCAATTATGTATTTTAATAAATCAAAGTGATGCTTCTCGCAGCCTATGCTGTGACTTTGAAATTTTGTTATCGGAAATTGCCTTGGATTAAGATTTGTTTGATTATATGATTAAAAATAAACATAAACTCCGTTTCCCTTTCTTTTTTTTTCTTGGTATATTGTTAGTCTGCTTCTTAATAGATTAGTATATACTTAATGGAACATCAACTTTTCTAAGGTTTTGCCACTATTAATTATATAGTATGTATTTTATTTTTATTTTAATTTTTTCGTTTATATTTTATTAAAAAAACAATCCCCCCTCTTTATGTTTTATATTTTTTAGGTTTGGAAATTTAATAAGTTATTGCCGCATGATCATGATCATATCTGTCATTTAAAATGCATAGAATAACAGGCAAGTTTTGACCAAACAACTATTCTAGTATAACCATTTCTTGCTCGGTTAGAAATACCTTTCAAGGCTAATAATACCTTTATTTGAACTTAATAGTTATTTTTACTGAGCAAGATTTGCAATATCGTGGACTTATCAAAGAAATTAATTTCTTTAATAAATTTTCTTGTATATTCAATAATTAAAACACTTTTAAAGACAATGATCTCATTCATTCAAAATTATAATATAATAATATATACACTTGTAATAATAATAATAATTAATATTTTTCATTTTTTTTTTTGATTCTTTAGATTCTTAGAATAACTAAAAATTTCAATTTGTATTTATCTTTATAAATTTAATTTATATAATTTTATTTGCCAAAATATTTAAAGTCTGTTTTATTTAACCAAAATATTTAAAACATGTAAAAAAAAAATTTTATTTTATTTTGAAGGTAATAAAAAATAAAGAAAAAATTATTAATTATAAAATTATTAATTTTTTATATAGTTATTTATTAAATAAATTTTAGAAAAAATTTAAATAATGTTTTAATGCATTTTATGCTTTTTGATGATCATGTAAATTATATAATATAATTGACATTATAAGTAAAATATTATAAAAAGTTTATTAAATAGATTATTGATCAAAATTTTTTCTTTCTTTCTTCTGATTTTATAAATTATTCAAAGAATAAAACATGAATGATATAATTATTTTTAATGAAATCAATTCAATAGAATATATACAAAATTATATTAAAGAGAATTTTAATAAAATTGAAGTAAAACTGATAATAATTAGTTAAAAACTGATTAAAAAGAATCAAATGATCTTTATTTGATAAATGTTTTATATTATAATAAGAAGTTATACTTTTTCTCAATAATTATTATATGCAAAAAGGATTTTAATACAGAAAAACATTTAAGGAAAAAATGAAGATGATGATACAATAAAATGAACTTTTTATGTAAATATGCAAATATATTCAAATCAAATAAAATAGTTAATCTTAATGAACAGAGAAATAGAAGTCTTGTATAATTAATTGCTTATAGAATAT